GTCAGTCCTACTGTAGTATGGTCAGTGTCAGTCCTACTGTAGTATGGTCAGTGTCAGTCCTACTGTAGTAGGTCTGCGTCAGTCCTACCATAGTATGGTCTGCGTCAGTCCTACCATAGTATGGTCTGTGTCAGTCCTACTGTAGTATGGTCTGTGTCAGTCGTACTTAGGACTTTAAAAAGTTGTCGATTCACAAACAACAGATCAGAGAATAAACAGAGAATAGAGGAAATAATAACAGATAGAGCCATTGGTTCATAGGGAGCAGGACCAAGACCAGGACCAGGACCAGGACCAGGACTAGGACCTGGACCAGAACCCGGCACAGAATCAGGACCAGGACAAGAACCAGGACCAAAACCTGGACCAGAACAAGGACCAGGACCAGGACCAGCCAAACTCAGACTTTTTTTCCATTGTGAATAACTGTACAGTAAGTAACAAACTACGAAATTGCTTTATCTCTCGGACCAAGTCTGAACCAGGTCTGACCAGGTCTGAACCAGGTCTGAACCAGGACTGAACCAAGTCTGAACCAGGACTGAACCAAGTCTGAACCAGGTCTGAACCTGGACGGACCGGTCAGACCGCTCACGTCTTGTCAGAGCGACTGGAGCCGCCGCTGACGAGGTGAGTTTTAACCAAGATTTATATTTATATAATATTATTATCACCAACTATAAACAGAGACCAAGTCTGGACCAAGTCTGAACCAGGTCTGAACCAGGTCTGAACCGGGACTGAAACCGGGACTGAACCGGGACTGAACCAGAACTGAACCATGCAGGACTGAGCCAGGACTAACTACTCTATCATTCTTTCTACTGTGTATATATATAGTATATATGTGTGTATATATATAATGATATATATAGACATACAGAGTATACAGTATTTTACACTTTGTTTGTTAATGAAACTAAAGAAAGATTTAATGTTATGTTTAAATATAGAGTTATTCCCTTCTCTTGAACAAGAGCAGGAACAGACTGTAGAATGAATGAACAGAGTAAAAAAAGACTTTAAAGGTGTATTTAAGATGATAAAGGTCATATATTGTATCCTAACTTTAGATCTTAGTGTCGTTGGACTGTCTCTGTCTGGATCTGTCCCAACAGGAAGTAAAGACGTCTCACTACATTTCTAAACCTGATCAAACACCATGTGAGCTGCACCAGGAAGTCTTTCTTAAAAGCCTTTATTCACAAACGGCCAAAGCCACATGTTTCCACCTCAGTCGCTTTTCATCAGGCGCACAATAAAACAACAGGAGCTTAGAAAAGTGAGGCAGGAAAGAGGTGAGTACATGGCACTTGGAGGAGGGGGAAGTGGGCGGGGCCAAGGTGAAAAGGTAAAGGAAAAGACACAAGTAAATAACACACATTAGACACAGACACTTTGTCAAACACAAGACAAAGGCTTCAGTCAAACCAAGCTTTTA